TTTTATACTGTCCCAGACCCAGTGTCCCTAAAATTTATAAAGTAAAATAGCATTTAAGTGTGATTCTAAAACAAAGATTTTCCTGGAGAGGAATTTACCTGACATATCCTAATTTCCTTTATTTTGTTGAAATAATATATTTATATTTTTTGAATTCTAGTTAAGTGTGTATTACATTGGTACTCACATTTGCAGAGATGAAAGATATGTTGGATCGAATGGAAGTATTAATTATAAAAACATAACTGGGTAAAAATATCAGACCCTAAAAATCTCTAGTTACTTTTCTTCAATCATGGCCTTTTGGGCAAATATTTCCAACTCTTCTCCAAGGTGCAGAGAAAAATCATATTACCTCATTCATACATGCAGCATCCACATTTTTGATTGGGTGTTTTCATTTGATTTTCGTAGAAACTCAACTTTGCTAAAATTGCATGTTTAGATGACTTCATCTTCAGTGTCTTATGCCTTTAACCTATTCCTTGATCCTTAAAATGTATTTTTTTTCTAATTTCTGATCCTGATGAGTTCTTTTTCTTCATATTTAATTATAATATACTTAAATATAAAATATAAATTTTAAAAATAAGAGACACTCGTATAGTAATTTAACATTAACAAATACTAACAATTTGCTTTATTTTTGCCTGCTCTTTCTTTTTAAAAGAAATACAATATTGAATATAGGTCTGTTACATCCTCCCTCTTTCATTCTTCTTTGTCCCTTCCAGAAGTAACCTGTATCTTGAAGTTGGCCTTTATCTTTTCTGTATATGATTTTCTAATTTGATTATGTATCCATGGGTAGCCATTCAGTGCATAAGATTATTTTGGTGTTTGGGAGTTCTTTTCTTCAATTCTGCCCCCCATTATGTAATATCCGTCTTCTTTTGCCAACCTTATTTTTCACTCTCTGTGACCCTCTGTAGAAGAGGAACCCAAGGAAAACTGAAGGTGCTCTGTCCACTTCTGTTTCCTTCTTTCTTGACCCTCCCCATCATTGCTCTGTACCCTATTCTTACATTCTTTGCAACAGGTCTATATTGGGTGCTCAAATAACGAATGATATTGTTTTGTTCAACAGTGTTTTATTATAAATGTGATTCGAAATAACAATTCCTGCAGATGTTGAATGAAAGGACGTCAGTTTTGGACTAATGTCGTTTTACTTAGCGTCAGTTTCCAGGAACTTGTGGAAGTACTTTCAGCTATTTTTCTTCCTTTATTTCTTTCTTGCTGCCTGCTGTTCAATCAATTTGATTTCTGGTTTTTGCTTTGAAAATTAATGCAAGCACAGTTTTCTCTGCCCTTACTTGGGAATAGCTAAAATGATGTTACTGCAGACCTGAGAGAGGAGAGCAGTTTGATCAGTTTGTACTATAAGAAATGGCCCTGAGGTAAGAATGGGCAGAGCTTTTGTCTTGGGAGTGCTGATATTTGACAGCATCAGATCTTAATTACTTATAATTAGTGTGCATGTTGTTTCAAAGTAGTATTAAAGGTGTTTTCCATTAGGGTAGTAGCAATCTCAGAAAAATAATTAGCTTAGCAAGACAGTTTTGATCTATATAGGAGAGATTTTTACATTTCTCTTTAGAGTATTCATAGCAAGGTTTAAGGTACACAAAAATTTTCCTTCTTTTATTTAAAGCATATTATTTGCCTACCATGTGTTAGATAGACACATTATGAGTAGAGAGGGACTGGAGTTAAACTCTTCAGGACCACACCTGATTATGACAGATATTTAGGGCCCCGAATAGTATGCAGTCTTCTTTTTTTTTTTTTTTAAGATTTATTTATTTACTTATACAATAATTGGGGTGCAGGCCAGAGGTGTGGGGGGTGAGAGAATTCACCAGAGACAGAGTGGGGATCAAAAGAGGCAGATTGACCAAAATACACTGCTGAGGGGAACAGTGGACAAGTCAGGAGAGGTCTGTTGTGCCATGTGGGTATCTCCCTGCCCGGGGATTGAACTCATGCTACAATTGCTGCAGATAGCTTCATAGGTTGCATCTTAACCCCTTGCGCCACCAGGGAGGCCCATAGTATGCAGTCTTAAAGTAGAAGACAAATGTTTATTCAGATCCTGTAGGGAGAATATTTATCCAAATAGTCTGATGTGACAAGTCTAGGGAGGGACAGGAAGATGGAGGGAGTCTACCAGTGCTGAGCATGCATGGCCTGTGTGAGGAATGTTTTGGGGGGAATTTTATGGACTAGCAAAATCCTTGAGTTTGTTTTTTTTTCAGTGTTAGAAGGAGCATTTACAGATGAACTATATGAAGTCCAACCATAGCAAGTCAATTCTATTAATAGGTACAAATTACCATCTAATTTCAATAGTTTTTTTTTTTCCATGTCCCACATTCCATCCCTTCCTGATCTCCCACATCCAAATAAAACATACAAGGAGCTAAGAACAAGAATGAAAAGGAATTCCGTAAGTTGCCTAAAATCTTTACCAGCTTAAATATATTTAAGCATATATTTAGCTTAAATACACTCCTGTGAGTCCCATGATAAGAGTGTTGGCTTCTCTCTCCATAGAGAATATGATGTAGGCCATTTATTTTCTTTCCCTGCGCACCCCAGTCCTTCATGTTTATGTCTTTACCTAGAACTCAGGAGACCCTACTTAGACCACCACTGTCTTATTCTAGTGATTTAAGTTTGTCAGTTATAACACACACACACATGCGCACACACATGTTAATGAAATACCTACCGTGTAGTCACACCAGATGTGTTGGTGTGTAGAAGAGGAAGAGAGAAATTACTTAATAGTTGAAGGTAGAGCTTTCAAGTAATTTTTTAAATATACGTTTTTTCTGTTACAAAGTCCCTTTTTGGCTCACTTTACCATTTCTAGTTAAATACACAGAAAAATTTTTCTAGTATTTCATGCTGGTAAATAGTAAGAATTTATATTTAACCTCTTTCCCTTCTCTTAGAAAAGAGCTTAGCCCACGAGGACCTACATTTACAGATAGTAAGGAATATCAAATATTTAGGGTTTTTGTATTTTTTTTTTCCAATCAGCAGTTTTATTTCAGGAAATTTGACTCCCTCAGAGTTGTGGCTTCTGGGAGATCATGAGAAGCCAAATGAGTATCCTGGTGACATTGACAATATTCTGCTATTGAGATAGATTTAGAATAAGGATTTGAAGTGAATTTTAAAATGTCCTAAGAATTAAGCTTTGTATTTTTGTTTTAGTAAATATAGTTTTGAGATCTATAGAAGGACTCTGCTGCCCTTTGAGTTTCCCTAAATGACAGGCAGTACATATTTTATATTTTAGAAGATAGCCATTGAGGCAATAAGATCAAAACCAGATTGGTTTTTTTCTCAAAAGCCTCTAAATTTGATATTATCTGTGACACAACAGCATGATAAATGTGATACTTCATGTACATAACTGTTTTCCATGTTGAGAAATAACATGTAAGTGTTTGTGAGTTAATGACTGGTGAAAAATAGGAAAAAAAATGACTTTTTTGTGAATCAGGAGGTAGGAAGATTTATCCAAGACTTTGCACAAACTTCAGTTTAATTCTTACATTTTATACATTTGCTGTTCACAGTTTCATCATCAAAACTAGGGTGTGCCTCTTACTCTTTTTATTTTAATTTAGATTTTATTTATTTATTTATTTATTTATTTGTTTTTATTTATTTTGCTGCAGCTTCTATTCTTAGTTCCACTAGTTTCTTTTGAGGTGTATTTCTAAGACCTCTAGTATGTGCTTTGCATGGTGCTTCAGGGACTTTACCTCTCAGCTCACCTAACCACAGCCTGTACCCTGGTTCTTACATAAAAACAAATAAATCTTAAAAAATATTAAAAATATATATATTTTTTTAAGATTTTATTTATTTACACAAGAACTGGGATACAAGTCAGAGGCGCGGGAGGGTAAGAGAATTCACCAGAGACCGAGTGGGGAGCAGAACAGGCAGACGGACTGAAGACACTGTTGAGGGGAGCAGTGGGCAAGGCAGGAAAGGTCTGCCACACCATGTGGGTTTCTCCCTGGCCGGCTGGGAACCGAACTTGCACAGCAGAGGCTGCGGACAGCTTCACAGAGCAGTGCTCAACCCACTGCGCCACCTGGGATACCCTAAAATCTATTTCTTTTACCTGATTTACCCATCCTCTCCCTCCCTTCTTCTTTGATTACCACTGCATCTTATAGTTAGGAATTCTGTTTATTCATTTGTTGGTGCTGTTTTATCTTCCACATGTGAATGAAATAATATAGTGTGTCTTTGTCTGTCTTAATTTCATAATCTCTGGGACCATCCATGTTGTTGCAAATGGCAGGATTTCATTATTATTATTATTTTTAGCTGAGTAGTATTCCACTCATCTATCAATGGACACTTAGGTTATATCCAACATGGACATTATGACTAATGCTGCAGTGAATTTAAGAGTGAATATAGCTCTTGAAATTAGTGTTTTTCTATTCAGATAAATTATAATAATAAGTGGAATAGCTGGATCATACGGTATTTCTTTTCTCACCAATTGTTTACACAAGTATATAACCAATTGCCATATTGTTCATACAAGTATATAACTGTGAGATAACAACTTCACAGTCAGACTCAGTGAGTAGCACAATAAACTTCTAGTGTGTAAGAGATTACAACTTCACACCTTCCTATGTGCATGAAGCATGTGGTATTTCTATTCTTACTGTTTCAATGAATCTCCATAGTGGGTCTACCAGTGTGAATTTCCGCAACAGCGTACCTGGGTTCCCTTACTGCATCTCTGTATTCTGATTGTCATCTTCATTGGATTTTTTTTTTAACCTATGGATACTTAATAACTTTTGGGAAGAAATACTTTTCAAGGAAATTTTCTTCCTTTGAAAAGTTTCCTTTTCCACTTGTTATTAAAGCTCTAGCTCAGGAATCACCTTGATTTGTCATTTGCGTGTTCCACCTCCATGCTGATAGTGCTTTTCTTGCTTTTTCCTTAGTGATACAAATGAAGTCGACATACCACCCAACACTCGAGTTGGCACCAAACGCTATATGCCACCGGAAGTATTAGATGAGAGCTTGAATAGAAATCATTTTCAGTCTTACATCATGGCTGACATGTACAGTTTTGGACTCATCCTTTGGGAGGTTGCAAGGAGATGTGTATCAGGAGGTAAGTAACACTGATATCTTCAAAACTCTATTGCAGCTACTACCGGGTTTTTGTTTTTTTTTTTCTTTCTGATCAGAAATTAAAGTTATCTTTTTTTCCCACAAAATTAGATTTTCTTTTATTTTCCACTTGTATCTCTGGTAATGCAGTCATAACCCATCCAGAAAATGATATTTAACATCTTGAAATTATCATTGATTGCTTCCCTTCCTCTACCTACTGCTGATGAACCTCTTGTGGATATAGTGTCAATTTTCTCTTCCCTTTTCAAAAATCACCCTCTTATCTATGCATTGTCTCATTTCTCTCAAGCTCCTTTTGTAGCAGTTACTCCTTCAAGTCATATACTCTCTCCCACTCCTTTCTGATTCTTACCAACCCACTGGGCTGCATCCCAACTGCAGTGCCTCTATCCCTGTGGCTTCCTCTGAGCAGATGAAGATAAGAAACATAAATGAGGGTTGGGACACTCATTCTTTAACCTGACTAATTCTTAACTTTCCTTAATACTTCCTCCCCAGGCAGTTTGGAAAACATCAGTTTTTATCAAAAAGAAATTAAAGTGTAAGAAATTCATGATTGCTCATGACAATTTTTCTATAAAAATCAGGATTCCCTAGTGAGACTGACTTAAATAAGATATCCTTAAGTATTCATTATATTTAGTAGGAGTTATTGCTTGTAATATTTTGCTTACTGTTGATAATCCACCTTTTGTAGATACCAACACCTTTTAATTAAGGACATGAGTTTTATACTATTCAGTATTGGGTATACTGTTTATGCTTCTGCTGATGATTGTGCTCATTAAGAAAACACGTTGCCACTGTTATTCTTCCTAATGACCAATTTAAACTCATCTTCATGGAAACATGAGTGTGCCCAGGATTTTGAAAGTGTAGCATCACTTAACTAGTACTGGGATTTGTTCCTGGAACTGCCATTCATTACCTGTAATCCTTTGGCAAATTACTATACTTTTCTTTGTTTCTGTTTTCTCATCTACCTCAGATGGTCAGTGTGAGGTTTCAATGATTATAAAGAAAATTTAAACTACCTGGCCTATAAACAGTATTAAGTACATGTTAGCTATTATTATTATTTTTTAAAGATTTATTTTTTATTTATTTATACAAGCACTGGGTACAGTCAGAAGCGCGGGAGGGTGAGAGAATTCACCAGAGCCAGAGCAGGGAGCAGAGCAGGCAGAAGGACCGAAGTACACTGCTGAGGGGAGCAGCAGCGGGCGGCAGGAGAGGTCTGTGCGCCATGTGGGCTGCTCCTCCGGTGGCCGGGGAGCAGCCGGGGATCGAACCGGTGCTGCAGAGGCTGCGGGCAGCTTCGCAACACAGCGCTCAACTGCTGCGCCACCGGGAGGCCCAGCTATTATTTTTAATGTTATTAATCTTGGTTGGTCAAGTCTTAACTTGTATTTAGATTCATATTTTATTTTATTTTTTTTTTTTAAATATTAAATTTTATTTTTATATTCCCCCATACAATTGCAAACGCCCCATTCTGACCCCAATCCTTCCCCTCCCGCCCCCCACCCCCCAAAAAGTGTCTCTGGTTCATAGTTTTTTTGTTGATTTTGATTTTCACTTTCTTATATTCATTTTCCTGGTCCCTTATTTAAGTTTTCTAGATTCCTGCTATGAGTGAGACCATCCGGTATTTTTATTTTTCTTTTTGGCTTATTTCGCTGAGCATGATCCCTTCCAGCGCCATCCATGTTGCTGCAAATTGCATGTGTTTATCTTTTTTGAATGCTGAGTAATATTCCATGGTATATATGTACCACATCTTCTTGATCCAGTCATCTATTTTTGGGCATTTGGGTTGTTTCCAAAGCTTAGCTATTGTAAACAGTGCTGCTATAAACATAGGAGTGCAGGTGCTCTTTGGAATTGATGTTTCTGTGTCCTTTGGGTAAATACCTAGGAGTGGAATTGCTGGATCATATGGAAGCTCTATGTTTAGTAGGTCCAGAAATCTCCACACAGCTCTCCATAGAAGAAAAGTTAACCTGCAGGCACTCATGCTTTTATAGGAATATTGATGTAATGCCTTCTAATCACTCTAGGAATTCTGAGGCTCTTATAAACAATTTACTTTCCTCTAAAGTGAGAGAACACTTTTGTCCAAAAGGAAATTTATCGCAGGGAATTTTTACTAACCAGATAGGAAATAAATTTCCTATCACACCTTTGAAGACGAAAGCCAAAATGTAAGTTGGGCTGTGATACCATGCTTTATAAAGAGGAGATGAATCTATTTTTTAATAATATGCTTATTTAAGTTAAGTTTAAAGAATCTGAAGGAGTAGCAGTAGAAGAATACAAGATTACTTTTCTAATTATGTCTTTTTGAATACCTAAATTAACAGGGCTGCAAAAATCCTATCTATGAAATCCTGTGACCTAGAATACAGAAAAAATGATTTTTAGTTTGAAAAAAATCTAGCTGTGTAAACAGCAGAGTGTTCATCATTTTGCTAGGTCTAACTTTGCCTGTGGGAACTTTACAGGCACTAAAATGTTCCCTTATTCCTCCAAGAGATAGTTACATATTTGTCAGTGAGTAGACTACCTCGTCTACCCCACGTTGACTGTATGGTCTTCAAAACCAGGTTTCCTCATCTGTATGTTATGGATGAAAAATGCTATTTAATGAACATATTTGTGATAAATTTAATAACATAAATTATGTAGTACCTCCGTGCCTGGTATGTAGTTGGCTCTCAACAAATGAGTTCCTTTTCTCTTTCTAGAGAGGCAAAGCATACAACTGGTCTCCAGCACTTTCCTTTATGAAGATAGTCCATGTACTTTGGGTAAGGTAGACATATCCAGATGTAGGTTTTACAAATTTTGGAAAGAAAACCAAGAAAAAAGTTTACAGGTATTAGACACAAAATTAAATGGCAACTAAAGTGGAAAATTTGATAACTTGACTGCATGATACAAAAGGAGCAGTTCTGTAGTTCCAAGATAGACTTGGATTTATAATTTTATGTGGTTGGGGCTATCTGTTTTGGTATATACACCTGCTAAACATCCGTCCAGTAGTGGCACTGAGGAAACTATGAGATGAATAAAAGAGACAAGGTAGACTCAAGAGCTTTTAGAGCTGTTGTTTTGAGAATTAGAGAAGGAAAACATGAAATGAAGGACGTGTCTTCAGTGCCTTAGAAACTGTTTCCTATGTTATCTCTTACAGAAATGAAATGCACTGAAAGGAAATATTAGTGTAGATACTGTATATTATTCCCTGTGGTCTCAGCAGGTGCAGAATAAATGTTGAGTGGGGATGGTCTGAGAAAACTTTTGAACATTCTGGTCCCTTATGATTATGCACGGGTTTGAGTTTGCAAGGGCGTAATGCAGTCTCTAGGTTTCCTCAGAGTATACCCCCAGTGAATTTTATCAGTGCCAAACTGGTGGTATCCTCTTTTTCACACCAAAAACAATGATATTTCTATGAGATGATTTAAGATAGTGAATAACGGTGTTCTGGAGCTTGTTTAGAGCAGCATCCTCTGAGGACAGAGATTGCTTGTAATTTTGTGAGGAGTTAATCAAATAGGATTGAAAAGAACACACAAGTAGGCTGCTTTTTTAAATGACAAAAAGAAAAAGATAGAAATTAAAATACTAGGAAAAGTGAAATGACATAGAATTTAGCCCAATAAACATACATTTCCCTACAGATAAACATAGATTTATATCTCTTACCGCCTTTTTCAACAATACATATATTCTTTCCAAGAAGTGATGTATTCTTTGCAAAAAATTTTGATAAATGCAAGAAATTTTCAAAAGAAACTAAAAATAAGACACTCCTTGCACCTTAAAAAAAATGGTTAATATTTTTAGGTGTGCATAGTCTTCCAAAATGCGTAAAAATATTTTTTATGATAAAGCAGAAAAAATGTAAATCTGACATTTTATTCAGGTTCAATACACTGCCAAATTTTTTATGAAATTTGTAATCTCATGCTGCAGTAATATACACAGTCACATATTATGCAGTATGAGTTTGGGATATGTCTGCCAATTTTGTGTTGAGATATATTTTTTTTAACTTGGCAAACAAGAGCCTTTACAAAATTGGAAATAAGTTTCAGATGCTGGTTTTACTTAGCTTTGGAAATTAGAATAAAGGTTTGAAGACCTATAATAATGTTTCTTTAAGCTTTCCATTCATTTTGAAAATTAGATTATATAATTTATGCACTTTTTTTTTTTCAAGATTCATGTTGTTCTTTTCAGTCTGACTTTGTTTTTAGTACTGCTAGAACTTTCCTTGGAGAACAGTTTGTATGTTAGATTTTTATTTTCACTTCAAAGAAAATAATAATAAGCATAAAACCGCATTTTCAGGTATAGTGGAAGAATATCAGCTTCCATATCACGATCTAGTTCCCAGTGACCCCTCTTACGAGGACATGAGAGAGATTGTGTGCATCAAGAAGCTGCGGCCCTCCTTCCCCAACCGGTGGAGTAGTGATGAGGTAAGACCTGAGGCAGTCATAACTACCTCCAAACAGACACTTTTCCTTTTGCCACAATCCCAGATACTCACAACAGGAATCCTCCTCCTTTGTTTGATGATGACAGTAACGGTGCCTCATTGCCAGTCATTTATCCATGGAGCTAAGTGTAGTGTGTTAAATTATCTATCCCTTTTTCCAATTTGATTTTACTACTTCCACAATATATTTAGTGAGTTAACATTTAGCCTACGTAACAGATAACATTGTTCCATTTATTTGCGATGTCCTGACATTTGCACAGAGGTAGTAATTTCACTGCGTGTGTTTTTAAAGCAACATGAATTTTCTCCATGTCAGACCCACACGCAGCATGATAGGAGAGAAGACAGGCATCTGAAGAATTTGATTTTCCCTGCTCTACTTTGGTATAAGTGACCTATTGGGAAGTGTGGCTGTGCTGTAGATCCTTGTTAATAGGGAGAATGAGTTATGATTTGAACTAATCCACATTCAGCTATGCCCTAAGACTGTGAAACCTGACAGGCAGAAAAGGAACTGCTGCAAGGAGGACCTTTCCTTTCTAATTCTGGTCATCCTGCTCATCCTCTTCACCCACCCTTCATCCTAAGGGCTCCCCAAGTCCTAATGTGCTCTGTAAATAGGAACATTAGAAGTAAATTTGAAATGTCCCCAGGGAAAATGTTAAGTCTTATCAAACATTCACCAAAGCCAGTGCAAACACATGACAGAGAGCACTGTTTGTAAAGTAGTTCTTCAGTGTAAAATACACTTAAAAATAACTTTTGGTTCATTGCTTTTGTGTTGAGTCACTGAAATGTTGAATAATACATATGTTTTCCAATGAACTGTGCAGAAATCTTTGAGATCCTGATGTTAGAGAATTGTGAAAGTGGTTGTAGGCATAGGTATGGCTCAAAATCCTTTCACTGAGGATTTCTAATGAAGCGAGATTGTGCTTTTCAACAGGAGGACTAATAATTGATGTACTACAGGAGAACACAGGAGAAAGTTTTATTGAAGCTACGCATAGGTCATTAATCTCGTTAAATTGTAGTCTGTGATGCTATTATGTAGCAGACAGCTGTGATTTAAGAATAACCATATTTGCTTGAAAGGTATGGAATTAGATAAAAGATTTAACCTTAGCAAGTGTTACAAACAATCTGAGAGCAAAGAATAGAATACAGACTCCATAGCAACCACCTTTTTGTTCCTCTCATAAGGAAGACATGAATATCCGGCTGTCACTTAAAATTATGCATAAAAAAGAATTTTTATGAAATTTCATGTGTACACAATTTCAGAGTATCTCTTAAAATTTTAGTATTTACACTTAAATATCTAAAACTAAAAGCTGGGTATCCAACGTCAACCTTGCAGTTAATACATTTTTCTAGTGTTACTCCAGTTTTCCTTTTCCCTTCCACAGTGTCTGAGGCAGATGGGGAAGCTCATGATGGAATGCTGGGCCCATAACCCCGCATCAAGACTGACTGCCCTGCGTGTTAAGAAAACACTTGCCAAAATGTCAGAGTCTCAAGACATTAAACTCTGATTCAAGGGGAAAAGTAAGCCTCTCTGCAGAAAGCCAGTAGACATTCTTCTGTTTGTGGGCAGAGAAAAAGATGTTCCCAAGCATCTGCATTACAAGCCTTGAACAGTGTCCACTTCCTGGTGGGCTTGCCTCGCCTCTCAGGGAGCAACCTGGACAAGACAGAGAAGTTCCCAGAAACAGACTCATGTGTGTCTGTCTGCAGAAGAGAGAAATTGCTTGGTAACTTGTTCAAGATATGATGCATGTTGCTTTCTAAGAAAGCCCTGTATTTTGGGATTGTCCTTTTATTTTTTCAAAAGATGATTTAATTTTGCCAAAATAAATAAATAATGTAGAGGTTTTAAGGTTTATACTATTATAGTTTAAATGATAACAAAGGCTCTTCTTAAAAACCCTGCTGGAGGATAAGTTAAAATATGTGCTCTTTCATTGGTAAAATTTTGTTGCACTCTGAAAACCAAAACATAGTCTGTGAAGTTGGAGAACACAGCGTGGAACTCATTCTGGAAGCCCCCACCCCCACCTCCTCTGACCACTTTGGCTAGCCCTGATTCGGGCCTGGCCACAGCAATGTGAATGCGCCTGGGTACAAGTGTCACCTGTCTGGGAACCGAATTTGGGGATTCCCCCAGGTGACCTTTTGCAGCTTCAGATGATATGAAACAAATGAAGGGTTTCTGTGACTATTAGAAGAAATACGTGTTGATACTGTTCTTGAGAACCACTTTGTGTTTCTGATTCTGTTAGGCCTTTCTTTAATGGCGAAATCCTGTCCTTTTCATTAAACACCAACAATGCTTTCTTTTTATGTGTAGAGAAATGACCCATGCATACGTTTGATCTCTTAAATGGAAGGATCAATAGTAAATACGATAGAGACAGTTTAAAATAGAGACAGTTTGCTCTTGTGCTGTAAGAAGAACTTGTCAACAAGGTAAGGGAGGAAGGTGCCTGGTTTGTCTCTTATGTTTGTAGAAACACGATTCTCAAAAGCACAAGGGGAAAGTATGCATGCCTTGTTTTGTATAGTGAAAGATGTTTTTGTTTTGTTATTGCCTGTCTTTATTGTGTCTGAATGAAGGGAAGGAGAGGAAGCATCTGTCAGGTTAATTTAGTTAAGTTTTAATTTAAAAATAGTTAAATGCAACCTCCAAATAGGGCAGCATGGGAGATCTTGTGGAGGCCACAAAATATTATGGCTGCTGTGATTTATTATTCTAGAGTAGATTTAAATTGAGTATGTACATCTTAAGTGATAATATCTCATCTTAGAAATGCTGACACTATTTTATTTTATTCTCATGATGTTCAATTCACTTTTTAATTTATTATTATTTCTTCTCTGTGGCACTTGTGCAAAACATCTCTTTGCCTACTCAGTTTTAAGGTTTTTAACTTTTGAACAACATGAGTAAAATCATTGATAGGGCCAGTGTTCCTTCACAACATGAATATAATAAGGTTTAAAACTGAACACATCCCTCTCAATGTTGTTCAACTATATTTCCTTACTGTGATTTTCTTTTAATTCTTAGAAATGCTGTAGTTAGTTTAGTAAAGAATTTGGAAGCACTTCCCCTTGGCCTTTTAATAAGGATGTTCCTTCCAGAATACTCCAGGGGGCAGTGTCTTATAACACATGTTCACCAGTTGGTGACTGAAGAATGGAGGGTTTTTGAAAATTTGACAGCTATAATAAAAATGAGAAAATATTTTCCTCACTTCTAAAGTAGGCTTGCGACTGGCAATTTGTTCATCCAGGAAACATCTGCGAGCAGAAAGGGGTTGTGAGCTGTGCTTACAGTTTGAGAGCATCACAAGGAGAAACAATGTTCTGTATTCAGCACTTGTTTCCCAATGCTTTGTAGCCACACTTTGTTTGTAACAAAGGATTTTCTTAATTCTTAAATATAGAAAAAAAAAATCTGTTTTTTCAAAACTGAGAAACAGTTCCAAAGTCACTTGTAATCAAAGGTTGCTTTTACTGAGATTAAAATCACCTGAATGCCAAAAGTTCCTTTCACATGTGTCAAATTGCATTCTTTGTTACAGCTTAGAAGGAATATGTGACCGAAAGTATGATAATCATTCTGAGTCTCCAAGAGAAACTTCAGTGCCTATCAGATCATCTACAAACAAATAAGTAAACATTTATGCCAGTCAAGTGTGGGGGCATGTTTGTGTTTCTTGATTTTCCCTAAATTTAGGTAAGATTGGGTTTACGTCTTAGATAAAAATGTCTTTTTATTTTTGCTAAATCTTTGTACATTGATACTTCAGATTAGAGTATTTTTTTGGAGAAGGGATGATTTGAAAGAAAACTAGATGTTTAGAGAAGTGTTGTTTCCATCGAAGAGGAGATAGACATTTAAATAGCATCCATATTTCTTCTATATTGTTTGGTCGTTGTGAAAAAATTGATAGCTTATTTTCTAGTCTCCAACCTGTTTTACTCACTATGAACATTTAAAAATTATTCTTGACATAGTTTTGAAAGACCTTTTCTGTTATAGTCTTTCAATGAGACAATTATTTTATGAGATTTTTCTTCCTATATTACCAAATACTCCTTACTTATGAATTACTAAATTATTCTTAAAAAGAGTCTACCTGCTCACTTCTAAATAGTTCTTTTTGATTTTTGCCTGTCTAAAACAGCAGAAGTGGATTTTTTTTCTTCCAGTAGAATAAATAGGGACCTGGGAATTAATAATGTAGTCGATTTCTCATGTTCAGGACTATTTCAAAGACTAAGATTTTCTTTTAACCCCTCCCCAAAGGAATCCAGTTGTTAACTAATGCAAGTTGTGTATGCTAAGATGTTCTGGTTTATAGTTTATGTATGTGTATATATCATATAAATATATATGTCTATATAAATATGTTTAGTTTGGAGTCTGGCATAACTCCAATATGTGGATTAGAGAGTAAAGTATTATAGATGATAAAGTACTAAAGACGCATAATATTTATTTATGAAAGTGTGTAGATTGTTAATCACAATGACAGTGCTATGAACATGTGTATGAGGAGACAGGCCTTTGACCTCCTGGAAAGTACCGCTCAAATATTCGTGGCCATTCTTTTAATTTTCAAAGCATAAAGTTTCTTAGAAAACATGCTAGTATTTTATTTACAGGGAATTTTTTGACACATTTCAACTGTTGTTGAACAAGTCAGAGATAGCAAATACTTAATGACTTACAGTCATGAATATTCGTTAGACGTTAAGGTGGTTTATGTTGATGGTCTGTTCTGATCTTCTTTGTTTGTAGGTGGAAAGGCACTGAAGTACAATTTTTTAAACTTGAATAGTTCTGTAGTTATATGTCCTTAGAAAATTCAGATACATAGCAGTGGAAATAAAGGAAGTGGCATCAGAAATGATTTAATTTAGCAATTATGATTCCGCTTGTAAAACAAAACAAAAAAACAATGCCATATTTTTTTTTGAGAAAAGTTGGCAGTATGTAAGGGGTTTTGTTTCAAAAGAAGAATCATTTGTGTTCTTTTGGGGAGCCAGTGCCTTATTGAATTTGTATATACTGTAATTATTCAGGACTAGGGAACAAGCAGTTGTGTTGTATTTGTTACAAATTGTATATGGCTTTGTTTTAACATTCTCCCGAATAAAATGGTTTCATTCTCCCCTTGGAAAGAACATGTCTGTTATCTTAAAGTCTTTTCTTTTTTTCTTGTGTGAAAATACCGCATTGTAATAGTCGAGAAGCCAGCCATGAAGGAGAGGATGCAGGTAAGTTTGTACATTTGGTGGCAGAGGAGCAAGAGAAGTGGTCTGATGGCTCCTATTTTCTCTGTCATTAGGAGGCACAGTCATCTGTTGAACAGTGACAGGAAAGGTGGGGAAGTCACTGGTTTGAGAGAAGTGTGAAGGTTTAAAATTGCACTGTGGAAAATGACCGCCAGCCAGCTATCGCAATGGCGAGGGCGGTTAAGATTGATGATACTATCTCTGTAGCTTAGTGGCCCAAAGTGTGGCCTTCGGATCACCAGGCAGCCTGATGTAATGCAGTCTCACTCAGTCCCTCGTTGTGTGACAGTAGCACATTTTGACCTCTTGAAGACTCACTTCTGCTTGAAAATGAGAGTGTTGATACACACTGTGTGAAATAGTTCTGAAGATGAAATGAAAGAATTCACGCACCAAGCATGAGGTTAGCACTCACTGTCGCTAAATATTACAGAATCATAGTGCCACTTTCCTATCTTGACTTATTATTTTATTTTTCTCTTGCCAACCTGAATATAGACATGAAGGCTATAATAACTGAATTCATTCAGAGTTGGAGTGTATCAAAACATCTGTAACAGTGGGTCATGGGAAGTAAGACTTATCATTAAAGGGATGGGTGATATATGGGCCAGAGTTAGGGAAGGAGTTAAGAAGGGGCGGCAACCCAGGCTTCCCTGGTAGTTAAGTCTCAGCCCTTTCACTGATACAGCCTGAATTGGATCCCCAGCCGGGGGATCCCTAGCCCACATGTTACAGCAGACCTCTCCTGTCTCACCCACTGCTTCCCCTAGCAGTGTGTTTTAGTAGATCCTCCTATTCTGCTCCCTTTTCTGTATATGGTAAATCCTCTCATCCCCCGCTCCTCTGGCTGGCACCCTAATCCTTATAAAACTAGGAGAGCAACCAAGAGACCAAAAGAAACCAGATCAGAGGACAAGCAACCATCATGGGGGTGAAGTGGTAGAGCAGTTATAGAGCAAGAGTCTGGTTAGAATCTAGAAGGGGCAGCAAATCAAGGACAGGGGTGGGTGAGACACAAGAATGCATGGATTTGTTAGTGGACAAGATTGATGATGATGAAAGAGAAACCACAAAGGTAGCCCTCTAGATCCTGTGGGTTTTGTTTTGTTTTTTCAAAGATTTATTTATTTATGTATACAAGCACTGGGTACAGTCAGAAGTGCGGGAGGGTGAGAGAATTCACCAGAGCCAGAGCAGGGAACAGAACAAGTGGACTCATGAAATACACTGCTGAGGGGAGCAGCGGGCGTGGCAGGAGAGGTCTGTTGCGCCATGTGGGACCCTCGCTGGTGGCCGGGGATCGAACCAGCAGTAGAGGCTGTGGGCAGCTTCACAGCCCAGCATTCAACCGCTGCGCCACCAGGGGAGGCCCCGGATCCTGTAGGTTTTGAATCCACCTCCCCTCCCGGGATATTGACAGTCTAGCAAGAGGAAGACTGTGAGGCAAAATTCTCAAAGGCTACAGGAGATTGGGTGATGTCAGTGAGGGGGTAGTGGCTCGAAGGCCTGAGGTGTCCTCAGGTGCAGAGCGGTGGTAATTATAAGGGCAAAGACCTAGAAGCAGCAGAACTGTGTGAGGAAGACCCTGTCCTTCCTCCCCGCTGTGAGAAAATGGAAAAATGAGGCCATCGCTGTTGTCCCTGACACAACAGGGGAGGAGACAGTACCTACAGTATCCTCCGCAGAGTCAGCAGGGACATGTGCAGCTACTTCCCCATAGACAGGGAATCCTACGGGGCGGCATGGAATGCTTGCTTTGGAGGGTCGGTTGGAGATTGAATTAGGAGAGAGGAAATGTGGAATTGTTGGGTGAGGAGAGTATGGGAAAGCTTGCATCTTAACAGTTACAGGAGACTCAGAAGCTTCTCTTATTAACTGTGCTTAACCAGATGCACTTAAGCTAAATGAAATCATCCCACCACTGGGAATCAGATGGACTGAGCTCACATGAGCTCACAGAATTCGCTTCCTCCATTCTGTGGAAGTATACACTCTGAGTCACAATGTTCTCTCCTTCAAATAGGGATAAAAGTCCCCCACATCATGAGGCTTCTGTGAGCAAGGACTTAGATGACTCTGTGAAGTCTGAGGCAGCCCCGTGCCAAGCACATAGCAGGTGCTCATAAATACTGCTTTTCTTACAGTTATTAGTTCTACAGAAAATAGAGCTAGCAGCATTTTAAAGCAAGCCTCTCCCACCCTCTCCTCACTCCACGTCTAGGGGCTGTGGGATTTCCCAGCATGGCTGAGGTAGAATCCAGCCGGGTTCTGTCTGCGCTAGTCATTTTATAAATACAAACTTGGTGGTTCCATCTGGTCAGAGCAGCAAAGTACAGGTGACCCTACCCTCACAAGGTCATTTATTTCCTCAAAGTAGCTACTACCCTTAGTTAGTATCCAGATGCGGGGACTGATGATATTTTTTGCCTGGCAGCTTGCTGGCACAGAAAGGAGACCAAGTCTCAGAACTCTCCACAAGCTGCAACTTTGAGACAGATTCTCAGATGATGCCCACACTGAGTTGACTTTGAAAATCCCTTCTGAGGTTCAGCTTACCAAAGGGGAATTCCAACTGCCAACACTCCAAATTTGGACTAAACAGGTGGCATCAGGCTGTGCGCCCTTTTGTTCTTTAATTGAATTTCTATTCTAGATAGAGTTAGATTCTCTTGTTTATCCACAGCCAACCTCCTGTTTTATGCAGGTTCAGCTTACATGGTGTCACCACTTCCTTCACCCAGACAAACATTTTCATCTGTGGCCCCAGCTGTGAATCTGTCTTCAGTTACTATGTACCTCAAGTGGGCAGTTTCTAGCACTGGCACAATTGCTTGCAAACACTCCTGGGCTGACCAGGCTGAGAGAAGGCATGGCTGGGGGCAGCTGTGGTGCATCTAAGGACACTTCTCTAGGTAGCTCCCTCCCTGAGGACAGGGCTGCCTTTGTGTCCCTGGCAGTTTCAGTGCTTTCCACTGAGGATTGGGAACCTTTCGCTTGCTCACCCTAAGAGAGACCTTGGTTGGTCATGGATCAAGTTGGCATGCACAGCATTGGCCATAGCCCTGGGCACCCTGAGGCATTGGCCTTTCATGTCCTGCCTATTAGTTCAATGATTTGCAAACTTCATTTCAAAGCAAAATTTGGAGAGTAGGGTCTCTTGCCCATTTTATTCACAAGCTCTCCAAGACATTCTGGAGCTGCTATTTTGGCATGCCTGTTCTCATTCTCAATTGCTTATCTATTACCTGAAAGCGTAAAAAACTCAAATGCACCTAGCTTACCCCAGGCCCAGGAAACCAGAATTCTGGGGGTGAGTTCTAACATTAGGTTTTCTAAAGCTGCCGTGTTATTTCCAGTTGCAGAGCCTGCAAAGCACTGTTCTAGAACCTCATTCTGTGAGCTTAGGCTGTGAGCACCAACCATGCAGGATCCAGGAACTATGTGTTGCACTGAAGAAATGTGATGACTTTGCACACAGAGGATGCTTTGTTATGAAGGAATCAGGGAGGCTGCACTCTGTTGCTTATAAATATAATTTATTACCGGTTTAAAAATTCTTTCTTACATTTTGTACATGTTCACTGACAGAATAAATGCAGGCAATTTACAAACCAAGGGGACTGCAGGAAAAGTGGGGAGAGGTAGCCAGGGAGAGAGAAGAGGACACCCAGAGCCGCACCAGACACCTCTACTGCCCTGCGCCCAGAGGGCGCTCTTCCTCACCAGGGCTTTTCTAGAAAAGGAATTGCATAGAAGATACAGCAAGAGAGAACCCACATCAACAAAGAAAGAGTGTTCCACATCTGAAAAGTCAAAGTTGTCTTGTTGTATTTAAAAAAGTAAAATAAAGCACAAAACCTCAACCTGACATGACTGCTGGGGATTTTTCTCTGACAAACATTGGTGGTCTTCTTTATAAAGAGCAAAGAGGAAGCTCACCAACTTGCCACAGTTCAACATTAAACTCAATGAACACAATGTCCTGCAACCAACACACACACACACACACACACACACACACACACACACACACGGTTGTGTTGATATTCCCTGCAGTTGGGCTAAATGCATTAGTCTGGAGGTGAGGCCTTCACTACCTCACCCTCTAGGTAGAAGAAAGAGGGAAGGAGAGAATGCAAATCACACATTCAATGTGTTCTGATTGTTTTCCTCTTTCTTTTCCAAGGCCTGGAGGATATACGTTTGAATCTGTCCCCCTCCATTTACAGGTGTTGAGACTAAAAGTACAAAAGGGAAAAGGCATTTCTCCCTGGCTGTAGAGTTCTTGCTTCTTTATGCCATTCTAGAACAGGTTTGTTTTATCGTCCAGAACAAAGCTTAGGTTGTGATTCTCTGATGTTGCCTCATCATGATGCTGAGTTTCAAAGGCCCAAGGCTCATCAAAACTTAGATAATCTACCTAGGATTCCCCTTTGAAACTCAGATATATTGAAGGTGACTCCATCCTGGGTCTGTGCCAGCAGGTTCAGTAGCAGGTCTGTTCATGCCAGTTCCAGCAGGCCTTGGGAATTTAAGGATGACATACAGGATTTAGGCATATTAGAGACCCTGAAATGCTACAGGCTTCAGCAATTTATCATTTTGCTGAGGCAAAAGTCTGAAATGGCAGAGTAATAGGCTGGTACAGTAGCAAATATTTCGGAGGCAGCAGCAGACTGTATCTCTGGGCAGGTCTCCTTGTTTTCGTCTCACCAACTAGTGGCCAGAACTCTTAAAGACATTCTGTAGGAATTCCCAACTTGTGACACCAGAAGCTCTCTGGACAGATTTTTTTTCAGCACGCAACAGTCTAAATATCTAAGGGGTTGGGAAAGCACCCCTTATAACTGTTTGGTTTTGTGTATCATCCATTTGTGGGTTTTGTTATTTTTTTTCCTGACCATTTGTTGTGGTGTGCCCCCCTCAGCCATGGTAAAATAGTTCTGGGGTCAGACCTTACATTAAATTGAATGAGCCCATTAATATTCCCCACAGATCAATATAGGGAGATAACAGGCCCAGCAGAAAACCTGAAAGTAGTGAACTCTTCTGAGGGCAGATTTGTGAAATACAATTTTAAAAATGGGGACATCACAAGGTTGATAAGACTGAAGTGTAAAACTTGAGAAAAACCACCAGGGAAAACCCAAGGCCATGTCCCTACTTTTTAAAGTTAGCCAAGTTTCAGGCATGGAACCTGGACATGTTTCCTATTCCATTTGTCTAACGTGACCAGATGGGACATAGGCTTAAAACAGCGCTGGTGGCAGAGTATTCATCCCCCTTTAGACTCATTCCATTAATAAAAACCGGTAGAGAGGCAAGGGTAATCTGTCAAAGTGATCATTACAGCCAGAGATTATATAAATAGATTTCTTAGGATAGAGAAACAGCACTTCACTGCACAGATGCAAAATTCTAAGGATTTCAATCAGTATTAGCTCAGCAAGGTTAAAAAAATACAAAAACAAAAAGTGTAGTACTTGGTATTACGAGGCACTCTAAAGGTAAAAAATTGTTTTATTAACCAGATAATAATAAAAATATTTCCTTATTCAATCTATAAAATCTAATGCTCATTGACTATAATCATCTTCACAAGTAATTGGTGTTGAGCAATGGCATTCTGATTCACAAAAGCTCCTCTGTTCTCAAAGAATATGGATAAAACCCAATTTCATTTCAGCTGTTTCCATGGTCATCCTTTCTCTTGTTGGCCTTGGAATTGTACTGAGGTCTTTCTATGTCAAACTGGTAACTAGTCCCAGCAGCTGCTTGGCAAAAGCTAAAACTCACATTCAACTTGAGACATGCAGTGTACGAATGAGTTTATGACATACGAGAGTCATAATGACATGGGAAACTTAAATGGAAAATGCTAAGAATAAGAGGAATTTATATATTTGGGATAAATATTTTCCTGTGTCTTTTTTTTGTCAGAAAGGTCTTGTTGACTCTTTGTCACACAACTTTCAGTTTCTGTATTAAACTCAGGGTAGCTTGCGTTACCTACCACTAGATGGCAGCAAGCACAAGTGATAGGTTTTCCCATACACATGAAGTTAAGTCCATCTTTCCTCACAGTCTAGAATTCCGAGGAAGGGAAGGCAGGACATAGCACAGGGTGGATGATGAAATAGTTCACTCTGAAATGAACAGTTAAGTCTGGACCTTCTAAGTTTGAGGGAAACCTATCAGCTTTTACTCTATTCCAAAGAAAAAAGAAACCAGAATTCATAGTGAAAATAATTTGACCTAAATGAATTGTATGTCTGGAATTTGCAGTCACTTATTGGGGAACATAACAGAATTCTAAGTGAGTTTCTCACTTAGCAGCAATCTGTCACTGTTCCCTTTTCTGATGCTGAGATGTTGAACCATAATTTGAGCATTTGAATTGAACCCCAAAGGCATCAATGGCATTACAACACAGTTTCTGTTATGGCCAATGTTTTTGTGTTGATGACTATTATTTTTTTTGCAAAAGATTTGCAATCAATTTATACATTTGTATAGCTAAACATCTTCTCCTGTCTAATTTTTGCTAGACGTAGAAGTTCCTTTGAGCATCCTTCAGATTTCTAATTCTTGATTTCCAGGGTTGATAACCCCTCAAACCAGTAAAGATAGGCAATATGAAGAAGTTATTTCAAGATACAACAGTGGATAACAGTTCTTTCCTCCTCCACCAGATCTTTTTTAACATCTGTTTTTAAAAAAGTGTATGTGGAACACATCTCTATTATCTTTTGATCAAATATCCAGAGGTATACACATGGTCCAGTAAACTTGCAATCTCTACCTATCATAATGTGTGACTTACTTGTACATATGGGGCAGAGGGTGACCTGAGAGAGACTGACTATAGAATAGATGCTTGAACCAGGAGGTAAGAAATAAATGGCATGAAAGCAGATGATCCATGCCAAGACACCAGTAGTTTCTCATGGATGAAGATGAAGGAGTCTGAGAATATCAGTAAGTCATCAAAATAAAAGAAATTTATGTGGAAAGAAGGGAAAAATGTTTATAATGATGTCTAATTCATATCCAGTCAGCAAACGGGATACCACCAGCCCAAATTTAAACCACAGCTGGATGCAGAAGGCTATAGTTTACATACATGGGTGCTTGTTTAATCTTGGTTTGACTAATGGACTGTTGACTCTTTAGTTTCACCTGGTGAATGAATTAAGTTCCTGTGTTAAAACATACACTGTGATGGTCCAAGGAAATATCATAGTTTACACAAAATAGTTTGTTGATTATTTTTCAGGTTTTTTTTTTTTAATTTCACATTTTTTGACCAAGACAATAATAGCACATGATTTGCAACTAGTCAGGAAGGCAAGTGGTCCCAAGAGAGGATAAGAAAATGATGACGGAGTGCTCTCTCTCTTAGAGAGCAGCGTTGATGCAATGACACAAAGAAAAGAGTTGAAAACATAACAAACACCTTACAGGTTAGGGTAACTGTCATTCATGTTGGAACTATTTGAAAGGCAGAATGTAGCATAGGCAATAGAGCTAGCTGATTCACTCTATGACATTGCCAGGCCAGAGTCCATTGTGGTCTTCTACTGAGGAGTGGGCCTGAAGGCATCACAGTAGAATTCCAGCATTTTAGAACCTTACCTCCAAACTCAACTTTTAATTTTACAAGTGAGGAAACTGAGGTCTAGTGAGGTTAAATGATTTTCCCAAGTTACCACAGCTAGACCCAAATGATGAACCAGAATGAGCTGGTATGTTGATTTCCAGTAGAGATTGTTCCTCTAGTCCCATAGTCTCTAAAATAGAGAGAGGCCCGTGGGGAGTCCATGTGGGGCCACATGACAACTCCACTAAATGACCTTTAGTAGATAGCACTTCTTGTGACAAGACTCAGAAGAGAAAGACCTTGCCTGAGCAAGGTCAAAGAGCACTACAAAGCCTGGAAGCATTTACTACATTCCGGGGGCAGAATGATGGGAGAAAGATATAAGATCAAGGAAGCAATGCCTGTTGAATTAAATTGGTGACCACACCTACCTTGTTATGTGAGAAGATGAGGCAGGACTAGTCAATACCTAAATACCCACAGTGCTGCTAACAAAGTCAGAGGTAAAAAAAAAAAAAAAAAAATCCTTTTACTAGATACTCGTAAATATTCAGTAATAATATTAATGATAATAATATACCATTAAAAAAAAACACTTCAAACTGCATATTACAAACGCAAATGTCGTGAAGGAATGCTTGCTTGTCTGGTCGAACATGAATCTGTTTTCCCTGCAATACTATATAGCTTTATTCCCAGAGGGCTCCACATGGGCACGCTCAAGGGATACGTGTAGTCTTATCACTTCCTTTACACTTAGATTCTCCACTTCCCTGATACAAACAGTAACACTGATTCTACAAGTTCTAGAAACAGAACACCAATGGGAGGGGTATCTGAGACATTTGATGCACACAATTTGTAGCAAAAGTCTGTGATTTCTCTGTAAATTACTAATGAGAAATAGACACAACGAACCGTCCACAGCTTCAACTTCAAATGATTTAAACAAAAATAGAACGAGCCATGGACAGTGTCTGCATCCCTGTCCAATTTGATGTAAACAATGTTTGTAGAAATTGGGTTTGTTAAGAAAGTTTATCCATATATCTGGATAATGATAAAAGCGTTTCCTAGGAAACTGTAAGATCCTGTACCACACAGCATACAGCCCAACTAAGAGGAAAATTAGATTGATTTCTAAATTCAAGACACAAATTTACACAATTGTTCCTAAATCCTGTGGTGATGTCCAGTGAAGTGGCTTTGCATTTTGGTAGATGTTTTGTTTTCTTTCTCTCTCCCACTGCAGTCTCGCTTGTGAACTCATTGGTCTAGTCTGGATTCCTCCTCAGCTTGATCCCCAGGATGCCGCAGGCTCTCTGTGCATCCTCGTCCTTCATTTTCGATCCCAGCTCGGGTCAATACTGTCCGTCTGCTGCTAAAGACACTACTGTTTCATGTCTTCCCATTTCTTCCAAGACAGCTGCCAGCACGCTCAGGTTTCCATCTGGGAAGTTCTGTGCTTCCCAAAGATCCAGGATCACGCCAGTGGGGCTCGATTTGGTAGCAAAATAATTCAAGTACCTATAATTGGGATTGGGAAAATGTGCTGAAAGGCATGCTTTTTGGATTCTTTTTTTTCTTTTCAGTTTTCACTGAACCTTTATCTTTTCAACTATTTTTTTAAAGATTTATTTATTTATGTTTGCATAGAAAAATTGAGGTGTGGGCCAGAGGTGCAGGGAAGCAAAAGGATTCACCAGAGACAGAGTGGGAAGCAGAACAGGCAGATTTACTGAAATACACTGCTGAGGGGAGCAGTGGGCGAGACAGGAGAGGTTTGCTGCACCATGTGGGTTAACTTCCCGGGTAGGGATCGAATCCAAGCAGTCAAAGTGATAGCACTGAGACTTAACCCCTAGGCCACCAGAGAGGCCCTCTCCAAACATCTTTTCAAGTATCCTGGCTCCATTTGAGAAATGGTGGCTTACAGGGAGCTGCCCTAAATATCTAGCCCATGCTTAATTAGATCAGTTCCAGACAGAAGATGTGATGTTAACTTTGTTATCCTCAACTCTGAGTAAGATAATTTAAGAGACAAGACATCCGTAGGTCATATTCTAAGTTGGAAATTTAGAGACTTATGTTTTCTCTCCAGGCCAGGCTCTGATCATTTTTGACAGGGCAAGAACTATGCTTTGCTGGGTAGCAACAGCAACATTCTAAAAGGAAGAGGCTGTCAAGGTCTCTTTATAACTTAGTATCAATCTTGTTTAGCATATTAATCATCCAGGGACCATAAGGCTTTATACTATAGGAGATGAGGAATAATAAGGAATAATAACTTGAAGGAATGGATGTGCTATTTGTGGGGATTTAGCCCATCAGCTTTGCACAGTGAATCAGAAAACTTGATACTTAGAAATATCGGCTAAGAACAGGATATCTATAAACACTGTGTTTACAAGCCCAGGTGCAAGACACAAACAAGAAGCTTAATATAGTTTTGTAGATGAAGGGTAAATAGAGGGCCTCCCTGGTGGCACAAGGGGTTAAGCATCAGCACTATAAAGCAATCTGCAGCTACAGCAGCACCAGTTCAATCCCAGGCCAAGAAGGTGACCTGCATGGCACAGCAGACCTCTCTTGTCTCACCCACTGCTCCCCTCAGCAGTGTATTTCAGTCAATCTGCCTGTTCTGCTCCCCACTCTGTCCTCTGGTGAATCCTCTCACACTGTCACCTCTGGCCAGCACCACAGCTCTTATATGCATAAATAAACGAATCTTAAAAAAGAAAAGTAAATAGAAGTGTGAATGCAAAAATTAAAAGACTGCTGCTTAAAACAGTTATCAGGGGGCCTCCCTGGTGGGGCAGGCGGGTTAGTGCAGCACTGTAAAGCTGTCCACAGCCTCTGAGTGCCAGTTCGATCCCCACTGGCCTGGCCGCGGAGCAACCCACATGGCGCAGCAGACCTCTCCTGTCTTGCCTGCTGCTCCCCTCAGCAGTGTATTTTGGTCATTACGCCTGTTCTATTCTCTTCTCTGTCTCTGGTGAATTTTCTTACCCTCCCCCACATCTGGACTGTACCCGGGTTCCTGTATAAATAAAATAAATCTTAAAAAAAAAAAAAAACAAACACAAACAGGGCCTCCCCTGGCGGCACAGCAGTTGAGTGCTGGGTTGTGAAGCTGCCCACAGCCTCTGCAGCGCTAGTTCGATCCCCAGCTGGCTGGCGTGGGTCCTACATGGCTCGACAGACTTCTTCTGCCGCGCCCGCTGCTCCCCTCAGCAGCGTGTTTTGTCAGTCTGCCTGTTCTGTTTCCCGCTCTGGTGAATTCTCTCACCCTCCCCTGCTTCTGACTGTACCCAGTGCTTGTATAAATAAATAAATAAATAAATCTTTAAAAAAACCAAAACACAGTTATCATGCCTGCAGCCAGGGCATACCCAGGGCATACCCACCTGTCCAGGTTCAGCTTATGAGCCAACATCCTCCAGTCATGACCTCTAGTCTGTGGGGCATCCAGGCTGCTACAGAGCTTCTGCCGGATGGGGGGAGGGATGCTGAAAGCACTGGGTCCTGTCATGGTGGTGATGGTGCTTGCTGGGTCCAGCAGAGGCAAATCAATGCCAGTAGGTTCCTGTAGTTGGGGCACAAGAACAGCAAAGCATTAGTTCTACAGACAGAAGTAATTCCTACTGAACCAACTTACATAATGCCTTCCCTGAACATCAGGGTAGAAGAAATGCTATTAAAACTCCTCAGTGATAGTGGCTTCTTCCTAGCTAAAGGCTGTGATTTGTTCTGTGTAATCTGGCTGAGAGGAAGAGGTACATTCCGAGCTGACTTTGCATGGCCTTGGATACTTGGGCCTTTGGATAAGACTAGGCCAGGTGGAAAGCTCTGCTGTGATACAATGGTCATTATCTAATGGGATCTCCGGGATGATGAGAGAAAGAGGGAATGTCACTACTCCTAAACACTGAGAATGAATAGGCTGAAATTAAAAGGTTGAAGCGTCAAAGCTTCTAGAAGCCATCAGACTCTGGAGGGTCTATGTTGAGCAAAGGCCTGAGTAAATGCTCCCTTCAACATCTGATGATGATGGCTGGGTTCTACTTTTGTTGAAATGAAAGATAGCTCTCCTCTAAATGCTATCAAATTAAGACTAATTTTTTAAAAAGAAAATGGTGAACACAGTATTTTGCCTCAGGGCAAGCTGCTAACATCATCTTTCAATTGCTGTTCACCCGTTTTTTTTTTTGTTTTTTTTTTTTGTTGTTGTTAAATCTAATTTTAGTAGAGAAAACCATAAATTGGCTCTTAAAATAGTTTCAGCTCATAAAACAGCACAAATGCAAAATCTGAATTTCATCTGCAGGAGAAATTCTAATCATTTTCTGATCACTTCTGTTGGCTGGAAAAGCAAAAGCAAATGTTGCCTGGGAACTATTAAAGTAATAAAAGAATATCTAGTTAATCTACTTTAAATGTCATCTCTCTCTCTTTCTCTTTAAAGCAGGTAATTCCTTGGTGTACATAATTAGTTGCTGGAGGATAAACTAGCCACACACATAGTCTCAGCCATCGTGAAATCTCCAGTGTCTTGCAGAGTGCTCAGCTCTTTTTAGCTGCACTGTTGTAGCCCAGAGCCCCCAAAGCCTTGAGGCTCCTGCACACTGTGAGGGTGAGGGTCTCTGCCTCAGGCTGACAGTGCTTTCCATATTTGGAGATCAGCAGCCAACCCTCACTGCTAGGCTTGCACGTGATCCTCACTGCACAGGGTCCATAGGGGGCTTAGAGCAGAGTATTTTGCCATGATACACACTGTGGTGTTGCCTGTGATCATTGTGTTTGGCCCAAAGCTTGGCAAACTGAGACGCCAAAGATTTTCTGGGTGGGCTCCTTTGTATTGGTTCCAGCACATATCAGGATTAAAAAGGGGGTGGCAGGAAACACAGACATGACAAATGGAAGCTGGAATCTCTGAATGAGGACACCACCCACAGATATTTTCCCCCATCAGGCACAGCTCTTTTTCCAAGGGACCATGAGGAGAGAGGGTCTGACCCAAACATGGGACATAGACAAAGGAAGAGAGAAGGGTGATAGCAGGACTGTGTGTCAGTGTTTATTAACGGATCTCTGTTGGGCTCTATCTGAACCCACGTGCCCAACACTTCTATTATTCAAGAAACATGCAGGCATGGGGTGCAGGGGAGGGGCAAGGGGTTGGAACTGAAGAGAAATCAGTTGGTATTTCCACAATTTAGGGCCATCACCCATTTTGCAACTCTGCTTGCTTCTTGTGTGAACAATAACTATAGGACCAAGAAGGAAACACACAGCATCTCCAAATACAAGCCCACCCTGACTCTCCTTGGCCCACAATGGAGGTAAAGTCCACAGAGAGCATTTGCTTTATGTAGCAATAACTCCTGTTCCGGTACCATGACCATCAGCAAGGGAATGTCACTACTCCTAAACACTGAGAATGAATAGGCTGAAATTAAAAGGTTGAAGCGTCAAAGCTTCTAGAAGCCATCAGACTCTGGAGGGTCTATGTTGGGCAAAGGCCTGAGTAAATGCTCCCTTCAACCTCTGATGATGATGGCTGGGTTCTACTTTTGTTGCTGATGGTCACGGTAGCTCGCTACTGCTTCCTGTGCTGTGTCTCTGGTGGCCAGACCAATCTTCTTAAAGGGCTGCGCTGATGTTTCTCCTTTTCCTCTCTTACCAAAAAGCCTTAAATACTAGTTTCACCACAGGGAGTCCAAACTCCCATTGTGGTGATGAGAGGTATTTGCACGCTCACTCACCTGGTAGGCTGGTGTGAGGTTGCAGAGGTGAGACTGTCTAACAGGAAGAGGGGCCCTGACCCCTGTTCTCCCACCACCAGACAATTTTCACCGCTCAAACTCTCCTCGCACTGGAGCACCCCTCTTCCTAATAAAGGATGTGTCTCCAGTAGTTCTGCCCTTCCCCCATCAACTCTGTAGGGCAAAACCCTCAAGGTCAGGACAAAAGGCATGTCCCATAGCACTTTTCACAATTCCTCCGCAGTCCTGGCACTCTGCTTTCTGCATGAAGGGTGTCATTGTGCATTACTTCCCTTGGAGTCCCTGGAGGTGAGAATATTTTTGTCACCCTCAGACTCCAGTGATACACGGCACAGTGCCCTGTGCCCAGGAGCTGTTCAGCTCATACTTGTTGAGATGAAAGAACATATTATTTCTAGTACAAAAAGTGGATGGATTAGTTCCAGAGAGGGGCCCACCCCAACTAAATGTGTCTGAAGCCATGATGGCTCTTCTCCCTGTTACATTTGGGAAAAAAAAAGCTCAGGAAAAGGCAGGTGAGGCTCTCAGGAAGCTCTGCTCACATATCCATGTCACCCCCTTTTCCTCTTGAAAAAAACATCCACGTGGGACCTTAAAGTCCTGGCTTTCCAGCCTGGGTTCCCATGCTCATTTATTTCTGTGGATGACACAAAAGCAATAGAGAATAATTTCTTCTCTTTTATCAGATGGCTGACAAGGGCCTTGGGGGTTAAAGAAAAATACATACATACATTTACATTTAAGTGTCATCCACTAATTTCAGTGGCTATTAGCTCTTACTTTACTTCCAGGTAAAAGTAGGGAATGCTTATTATGATAATTGTTTATGATATCGGCACCATCTGTCATTGATGTTGATTCCCTTAGTTAAACATATGATTTTTCAACATTTACTGAACAGCTGCTGTGGAAGATGGCACACATTTTTAGAACTCATAGTAGAAGCAACTTTCCACTCCCACATCCTGACTCTTCCTGAAGTTACTTAGAAAAATCTAGATTTTTCCTGATAGTCATTAGGTTTTAAAAAACAGAAGAGGTAAATAGGTGGGACAGCTGTAACATAGAGAAGGACCTTGTACATTCTTAATATTATTCAACATGTATATGCAAAAGTGCTGTGTATTACTATTTAAGAGCTTTCTAGTAAATATAAGAAATTTATAATAACTGTTATTACCTGGAAATCTATTATTAAAAGAAACAACTTGGGCCTCCCATGTGGCACAAGGGGTTAAGTCTCAGCACTTATGAAGCTATTGGCAGAAGCTGTAACACCAGCTTGATACCCAGCCAAGGAGCTAACGCACGTGGCACAGAAGACCTCTCCTGTTCCCCTCAGCAGTGTATTTCAGTAGATCCACCTGTTCTATTCCCTACTCTATCTCTGGTGAATCCTCTCACTGCCCCCCCCCCAACTTCTGGCCTACACCCCAGTTATTGTATGCATAAAAAGTTGATGATGGATGCTACAGATTGTAGTGGCAGGTTTTACTCAGGCACCCCACCATCCTAGCCATGAAGACAGGCCTGATAACAGCACATATCCATGGAACACGTACTAGGTAGGGGTCAAGCTCTGAGCACTTGCTGATATTCACTCATTTAATGCTCATTACAGACCAGGAAGTGGAGACTGTTGTCATATCAACTTACACATGTAGAAGCTAAGTCATTGCCCAGATTCCCATCGAACTATTTGGGAATTTCCTATAAGAGTTTTTTTGTTTTTGTTTATGTTTTTTTTTTGTGATTTTTTTTTTTTAATAGCTCAAACCAAATAGAAGTTCTGGAGGGGCGTTAAACTCCTTTTTCTTCTCTCTATATTTATTTCTCCTGGTGGTGCTGGGTAGTTTCCCCATTATAGTGTCCCCAAGACCCCCCTTTAAAAACAGACGAGAAAGAAAAAACTTTATCATCATTTATATCTGACTTTTCATTCATGTCCATACTTCTAATCGCCTAGACATTTTCATCCTTTTTTTAAAGATTTATTTATTTATTTATACAAGAACCGGGGTACAGGCCAGATTTGCGGGAGGGTGAGAGGATTCACCAGAGACAGAGCAGGGAACAGAACAGGCAGACTGACGAAACACACTGCTGAGGGGAGCAGCAGGTGTGACAGGAGAGGTCTGCTGCGCCATGTGGGACCCTCGCCTGCCAGCTGGGATGGAACCAGCACTGCAGAGGCTGCTGACAGCCTCACAGTGCTGCGCTCAACCCTCTGTGCCACCAGAGGAGGCCCAACATTTTCATTCTTAAACTGCATCTCTGTGATGCTAAACTTTGTCTCTAGTAAAAGAATCTCTGGCCAAAGAACTCAGGAAAAATTGGCCCACACTTGACAAAGCAGGTTTATGTCAAGCACAGCTTGTCTCCCAGGGGGCAACAGGTCTTCAGCCAGGGTAGAGGGCCAGCAGCTATGCTGCTGGGGAACAGCTAAGTGGGTGGTGGTGGGTGAAGACATGACACGGGAGCAGCACATTCCCAGGAAGTCAGCTCATTCTTGGGTGACAAGATGTTTGAATTGACTCCCTATCTCAACCCTCCAGCTTGCCATGTGACACTAGGAAGGAGGCCTGTTCTGAAATAGACACCAGGAAAGGAAAATTTAATTGCTCTAATTGCTTATGTTTTTTTTAGTCGTGGAACTTTGTGAGGATCTGGGTCTCCGGCACTCCAGAGCCTACTGGGGTTTTCAATCAGAGCCTGGCTCCTCAACATCAGTAGCCTGGCCACACCCAGCTCTGTGGGCCACAGGCACCAGCATTCAAATGCTAACAACTGTGGGAGTCAGTGACCCAGAAGTAACAGCAGCAAAGTGTCCCTTAATCCCCAAAGTCATCTGACTCTGGTCACTTCTACCCCTTACCCGGTTAAATGTGCTTGTCTGTCACATATGTGCAAAGGCCCAACAGAAATGAAGACTTGGCCACTCTGAGCTTGATGCACCAAGTTGCAAAAGAAATCATCTTTCCTCGATGTTGGCACAAGAAAGCAAGTCCTTAAATCGTGCTCACGCTATGCATAACTGTCTTTTTTTGGTGCAGGGGTGGCAGGACTAGCAGGGGGGAATGCTGAACAGCTCTTTCATTTGCGGCTGCATCTGATCCACCTTTTCATCACACAGCGAACGTTCATGGTGCACAGAAAGCAAGCATCAAAGGCACAGACCTCCTCACCCCCCTCCAAAATTCTGCAGCCTTTGTTGTTACTGGAGCTGGGTGGTTATTGAACTTTGCAGACCTGCTGGGCCTGGAAAGTGAAAACACCCTCCAGAGCCAGCAGGGGTGGTACTGTGTGCCTGGGAGATAGGGCCTGCGTATCACAGGGCCAGGCGGTTGCCATGGCACCCTGACACCGAGATCATTCCTTATGAATGTCACTGGGGTCTGTGACTAAAGTTGTTTATGAGTCAAAAGTCTCATGAAACTACAGGAGGAAATGATGACCGCACTTTGGCGGCCTGTGGGAAAGAAGGATGGAGTGTGGTGGACGCTGACACGCTTGCCCCCTCAGTTTGCTAAGGAAGACAGTCTTTAAATACAACATGTGGAGTGAGATGAGCAGAACACACTGACATTGCATTCGTCACTGTGCAGGAGACAGCAAGGGGGAAGTCGTCTTCTAAATCACAGCCCGGCCTGCTGCTGTAGCTTTAAAATACGACTATCCTGTGCATTGTGGCCCAGCAAGCAGCATAAAGCTAAGTTGCAGGAGGCCCTGGAAGATGCTGCCTTCTGACCATAACGTCATTCTTTTTCCTTTGTTCCTCCAGTGTGAGGGTTTCCACTGTTCAAACTCCAGCACTGCCCCACCCCCTTCCCGTTCAGAGAAGTTTTAAATAGCAGTGATCACGGTGGTGTCTCTGGTGTGGCCAAATAAAAATGCCCCACTGGAGTGAATGAAGAGCACAGCAAAGAAAGGCAAAGTGATGGCCACTCGGGGTGGGGAGGTGGCAGGGGAAATACATAGATTTTACTTCTATTTCTGGAACATTTTATGTTCCTTGGAAAAGGGTTTCTCTATATTTGGAGAAGAATGTATCAGAGAAAAGAAACCAAAATAGTCCTCCTTTCAACATGCAGAAAAAAAGGGAGAAGTATAGAGGAGTAGAGGGGAAAGGCCCGCCTCATCTTTCTTCTTCACCTGCTTCAGTGACACAGGGCCAGGGACCAAAGGTGGGTGTGCTCTCTGGGGAAGGCCGCGGGGAAGGAGATGAGGCTAAGGGAGGGCACAGGGAATGTGGCTCCGCAAGAAACGCTTTGGGAAAGGTTACTCACATGCACACTACTGAAGTCACACTTCTTGAAATTCAGATCTTTTGTAAAAAGTTACAACGTGATCCTTAAGTCCATGTCATAAAAAAATAAGACTTGTTTTTCAAAAAAGATTTCCTATTATATTCTTTTATGGATCTGGCTCCCTCTGTGTTCATTAAAAACATTTTTCTATTAACAAATTGGCCCTAGGAAAACTTTTCAGGATTTTCCATATGGCCTATATTGCTGGACCCCACTTTTTATCTCCTCCCCAAGGTCACACTCTTCTGTTTTCTGAGACAGACAAGAGCTTCTTACCTCAGACACAGTGCAGTTTAGCTGAAAGATCTGTCCCTCGCCTTCCACCTGTCGTACACACAATTTGCAAATCAGCTCCACTGTGTTCAGGCTAAATCTTTCCAGAGTGAATGTGCAGTGGAGGTTTCGTTGAGATCCACTCCAGATATGATAGAAAGGAATTTCCTGCAAGAAATCAAACTGTTAGCCACAAATAAGGGACCAATGATAAAAGTAACTCTCAGACACTGTACTGCTGAAGACGCTTCTCAGCACTACGTACATTACCTCATTTCGTCTTTACCACAAGCCTATGCACAGTACAACCCAACCTCCTTTTCAGATAAAAAACAAACACTGAGGCCCAGAGAGTTTAAATAAGTCACCAAAAGTCTGACAGAGTTGGGATTTAAACCAAATAGTCAGCTACCACATCTGCCTCAATAATCTGCCATTTATCTCTCATTTATAAAAAATAAAGCCATTGTAAAGGATTTTTTTTTATCTAGAAAATCCCCCCAAAATAAAACTTATACATTCCAGTCATTGCTCATTAAAAGGATTCCCTCTTCTGATATTCTGAAAGAAAATCTAAAGGATAATATACTACTCGGTTTCCTTTCATGCACAGAATGGGAAAGCCAGAACTCACTACAGCTTGAAAGCGTACACTGGATAAAGAGCCACAGAAAAGTCTTTGTCCTAAAAAGCGCTAATCTTCTATGAGATAAATTTTCTAAAAGTCTGGAAACTTACAGAGTGCCCATCCTGGAACCTTTTTTCAATCAAAGAAATAAATCATTAATATATTTTAAAAGGTAGAATGTGGCACTTGGGAACAGAGAATTCAGTACAAATTAGAATCCACTCCCATGGTTTACGTGGTGATTTTGGACAAGTTACTTAATCTTCCCAAGTTTCAAATCTCTTCTCTGTGAAACACTGAGCAAGAGGACCAAAATCCTAAACCTGCTGAAGTTGGAAGAGATAAACCACAGTGCACGTGTGTCGTGTCTGGGGATGGAAGGAATTCCGCCAGGGTTGGCTTGAACTAACGTCAGATTGTCATTATTATAAAATAATATATTCCATTATGATGATATAAAGGAAATTACTCATTAAATGAAGATTTGTGGACTTTCATGGCAGTTGCAAAACAGGAGAAGGAAGAAAGCAAAAGAAGAAATTTAATAAGAAAATCTAAAGTCTGATTTTCAAACAAGTGCTGAATGACCTAGGGGAGCCCTGGCACGCAACTCCTATCAGAGCTCAAAACTGATTTATGTGTAAGTGCTACATACATGCGAATAGGGCTGGAGCTGGAAACTCTTCCTGTTATAGCTTCTAGTGTATTCACTGACATGCCAGGAAATCACTGCCAGTTCAGCTGCAGCACTGGTGTGAGGCTAGAGAGCCCATCACACAGTGTCCTGTGAGCTCAGGCTGATCCGGAGGGAGGAAGGGAACCCCTTTGCTTTTCCCACAGATACATACAATGAGACTGGGGACCTCTACTTTCATGCTCGCATTTAATAAAGTTCTCACCAGATTTTATGTTTATGTTTACATACCATTTCCATATCCAAAATGGGGAGTTTTCTAAGTTTTCAAAGTAAAAGTACTTTTCCTATCTAGCATGCCAAAAGCCTGATTTGTATCACATGGGGTACCAGTGTTCTTCTGTTTTTCCTATGATTTCAGGCAAGGCTGTTTTTTTTTTTTTAATCAATTTAATATTAACATTTATTCTGAGAATTAATTAAAAGGATGTACTTTGAGGTCTTATGTATTAAAAACACAACAATAATAGCATAGTTACTTGAAGGAGTACTAAGAAACTCCTTCAATAGGTCTAGAATATTTTTTAAAACTTCTAACGACCTAATTTTGGAGAAACAAGTTCTGATGTAGGATTTACTTCAAGGAAGGGAATATCTTATGTCTAAATAATTGCAGTCCTCTTTCTTGGTACTGTCTTCAAGTCTTCAGCTCAGCTTGGGAATCTTACCTGATACTTGGCCAGCAATTTACTCTTCCAGTGGGAATGGGCGATATCATGAATGGACAGGCGCAGGTTGTGAGTGCTGCCTTTGAAATGAAGAGCCTTTGGTTCTTCTAGGAGCTGCCCTCCCATCTGTCTCTCAAGCTGCAATACTTCCTGCAATAACATACCAAAACCCAAAAGCAAATTACTGAACTGCATCCTTTCCACTGGCTCATCAAAAAAGTATGTTTTTTTTTTTTTTTTTTTTACGTGCTTCCCACATCACACCTAACTTGTACAACACTGACCTTACAACTTTTGAAAAGCAGAGAATGACTGAATCCCTACCAGGTTGCATGTGACTGGAACCTACTGACCATCTGTAGTATAAATGGAAGTTATCAGATTTTTTCTACCCTCCCACCATTAGCATCTTAGCATCAGTAATTGACACCTGTGTTCTTACACGCATGCCTGTTGGAGGCACCTGGAATATGGTGTGGGCGTGGGTAAGTGGGCACAGCTGAGCCAAGAGACGGAGCATATAAGGGGGTGTCAGAGGCACGAGAGGCAGAGGTGCAGGCTGCAGAGTGCAGTAGAGGCCAGCAGAGAGACTATGAGAGAGTCCAGAGAGTCCAGAGAGAGTGAAGATTCACCTGGAGCTAGCAGGCCTCCCAGCCTCCTGGCCCCTGGCCTCCCTGCCTGCCCTGCACCAGGTTGCCTCACTACAAATGGTGTAGAAAGATCATTAAAAGCCTGAAAAAGACTCCAAGACTCTCCTTTACCCATCTCCCCGGATCATAGGAAACTTGCCCTGTGCCTTGCTGGCACTGTACCATCAAAGATGTCTCAGCAATAAATGACTCAACTCTCAATGTTCCCAACTGACAAAGAGCAGACTATTTAATCAAAGTATAGGAAAATAAAAATAAGAATGAAAAATGGGAAGAATCCCATGGTCAATCCCAGTTGACCAGCATGTATGAATCCATACATGTATACAGAAGTCAATAGATTGTCCAATTAAATTTTAGGGGGCGGGGACAAATAAATATAGAATTAACCTGTGGCTTGGTTTTGGTAAACCAGTCAACAAACAGAAATGTGAATGTGTTTTGGACATTTTTTTCAATCCTTAGTATATTCTTTACCTACAGAAATGAGAATTTTACTTAAAATTATCCCTTTCACAACTTCCAATTATCAAAAAAAAATTATGTTCATTACATGTATGTCCTACTAGAGAAAAAGGCACTGATAGGTACTGATACAGATTAGCAGGGTTTCTCAGCAACAGATATTGGACAAAATTCAAATTAAGTTTGAAAAAGAGTACCTCATTCTCAAGTACTTAGGCTGATTAAAAAAACTGCCATGTAACTTTATATTATAAAGATGTAACATGAAGACGAAGTCTATATATTCATTCCACAAGCTGGTTAATGAATGTTAATGAAGCATTTCCAACTACAGCTGCCATTATCCAAATAGCAGAAAAACAATTGTCAGTGAACAAAATACCCTGGGTCTCCTTTATTGTGTCATTTCCTTCTTTGGTGAGATGTCAACTGAAACACGAAGTTCAGTGGGCATCTACCCGGTGCCCAACAAGGGTGGGTCACAAGGGAAAACTGTGTACAGAACTCAGACTCACTTGTACCTAAAAATACACCTACTTTGCATTTTTGAATTAATTCTAACCCACACATATACAGTCCAGTAAGTGCAGAATTTACCAACACCTTTGATTAGATGGAAACAGCTCATTTTAAATTGTTTCTTTGCTGGTTCTTAGTATTCATCCCTGAATCAGGCTGCTATTTTCAATGACAGTGGCAAGATCCCAACAGGTGCAATAAATAATAGGATAATGTGGAATGTGGTCTCAGAAAGGGTCTCCTCTAATTGGCATCTAATGGAAGAAATGAGACAATCGTGCACTGGTAGAGAGATGGCATAGTCTGACTTCTTGCAAGTGTGGATTTGAGAGTATTGAGCCTTGCTGGCTCAGTAACTATTATCTGACAGGAGCCTGAGCACAACCAGTCAGTTGACCATCTGGACACATATGCCGGGCCCTGAGGTGCCTGCCTCTCGGCTGCTTGGAGGGTCCCCAGTCAGCTGTGCAGATCTCCCTGTTCCCAATTCGCACATGGTCCTCACAGAATGTCCTTCCATAGCACTTCACACTCCATTCCTAGACAAGAGTCTGGTCATGTGGAAATGAAGGCGAATAAGAAAAGTGAGGGTTAATTGCAGTTTGTTCTCCTTCAGCAGGAAGGCGTAATGAGCTTATGTTGATCATGTTAGGTATCTAGTTAGCATAATCGAGAGAGCTGATGTTCCCAGTGAACCTGGCACCTGACAAATTCTAAAGCTAAAATGATGTTTGTTTATAAGCCATTAGAAGAAAAGAAACATAATTAGAAATCTTAGAGATTACAGTCATGCCAATCAATCAGTACCAGCGTCTTTCTAGTATACCCTAATTACCTCATCAAGACATCTAAAGAGCAATCGATAGTAATTATCTGATTACTATAGATCTTCATTATGTCCAAATTATCTCCCTGGGATGTCTAAAAGAAGATGCATTGTATTCTGGGAGGTAATTGTACCCAACAATGTATAATCCACACCCTATGCCTACAATCAACATAGATTACCAGAAGACATGGAGAGCATTATCTGTTTTCTTGGCAGGGAGGAACTTTGAAAAAAAACCTGACCTGCCTACTGGCCATCGCCTTGAAGTGAAGAAATTTAGTAACACCATGTTTTGAGTGCAGAGTCTAGATTGGAGTTAGCCTAAGAATAAGTCTCAGTTCTTCATTTCTTCAGCAATGACCTCAAAAGGCATGGTTGAGAGTCCTCCCTAGCGGGGAGAGGGACCTGGATGGCTTGAACCCTTTGACAGAAAGCACAAAGCACCCTGTTAAAGTCAAGTGATCCAGAGAACACCCTCTTTCCATATTCTTTTTATTTTTAAAGATTTATTTATTTATGCAAGAACTGGGGTACAGGCCAGAGGCACGGGAGGGTGAGAGGATTCACTGGAGACAGAGTGGGGAGCAGAACAGGCAGACGACTGAAAACTCAGCTAAGGGGAGCAGCAGGCGAGGCAGGAGAGGTCTGCCGCGCCATTTGAGTATCACCCTGGCTGGCCGGGAATCGAACCTGAGCTACAGAGGCTGCGGACAGCTCCACAGCACTGTGCTCAACCGTTTCACCACCTCTTTCCATATTCTTAAATTTTCTTTCCTTCCACTAATGGCAGTGACACAAAACTGCTGCAGGACTGCGAGGAACCTGACATTTTTCTGCCCTTCAATTGGACACGAACCTTTGAGAAAGATAAATTACCCTTCAGGATGCATCCATGCTTAGAGCAGAGGTCTCTAAACATATTTGCATGTGCCCATCAGTCAAAAAATGGAGCATATACTTCAGATATGTTTATTTGTAAAATATATAGCTAAATGAATATATCAGTATTTAAATATGAGACCATACACATGCAATCAAAATTATGATCTGGGATAAACATAGAATAATTAATTTCTTTTTTGCCTCAAAGTTTCCCTGTGCCTGGGGTAATGTGACTTGACTTAAGGACTGCTGGCCCTGACAGCTGTCCTTTTAATCTAGCCTGGGGAGAAATCAGCCCAGAGGTATATGATTCAGTAGGAAGCGTCCTCACCAGTCTTAAAATTGACATTTTCCTGAGAAGTAGTAAAAACTATCATCACAGTCAGGGTCCTCAACTTCAAGGAAGCAGAACAAAAGTAAGAAGAAGAAAACAATTAAAGCACAAATTAAAGATTTTATGTCAATTCATAGAACAACTCCTTGGATAAAGAAACAAAACTAATGAATAGACAAAACAAGTAAAAAAGAACTTTTAGATTACAAGAACAATATTGGGGTTAACAGAGAGGAAGCAGTGAGGGGGTGGGTAAGTGGGTAAAAAGGATCAAATTTATAGAGAAGGATGGAATTGGCTTTGAGAGTGAACTTAATTAGTGTACACACATGTTGATTTACAACCCTGTGCACTTGAAAACTATGCAATGTTATGGACTATTGTTACTTTTATTTAAAAAATATCCTTGAAAACTAAAATCATCCAAAATTACACATGAGAAGATGATGACTTACCATGTATATCAAAACCGTGTTTATAAACTTTGTGTCAGAGAGAAAAGAAGCAGCCACCTTTATAGTCTAATCAGGCTTTGATCCATATTGTTATGGTTTAAGTTTTATAATTTCAGATATGTTATAGCAGATCCCACTTAAAAATATGTTGTACCTTGTATCTCAAAAACTTGATATTCTGAATTCCTTCTGCATGAAGGAATTTTGGTTATCATACATATGATGCAGGTAAAAGAACAAAAACAGGGCCTCCCTGGCAGTACAGGTGTTAAAGTTTCAGTGCTATTAAGCTATCCCCAGTCACTGAGGCATGAGTTCGATCCCCAGCTAGGGAGCTACCCACATGGCAGAGCAGACCTCTCCTGTATCATCCATTGCTCTGCTCAGCAGTGTATTTCAGTAGATCTACCTGTTCTGCTCCCTAATCTGTGTCTGGTGGATCCTCTCAGCCCTGCCCCCTGCACCTCTGGCCTATGCCCTGTTTCTTGTATACATAAATAAATAAAACAAATAAATCTTTAAGAGAACAAAAACATAATAGGTGTATGAATCAATAAAAGTGCTTTACAGCTCAGTGTCTGCCTCCTCATCTTTTGTGTGAGTTTGTTCAAATCCACAAGCCACATCAGAGCCTCAGATACACAGTCTCCCTTCCTGCCTCAAACGGCTTGCAGTCCAGTGGGGGGCACTGGTATATAAACACAAAACCCCCCAATATCCTGTGCTCAGCTGTATGTAAGCTTCCAGAATGGCTTCTTTTGGATCCCAACACTAATGTCACTTCACACATTTAAGAATAAGAACAAAATATATTTAAGGTCAACAGATGTAGGAAGACTTAAGGAAAATATTAGAACCTTGGAAATAAATGCCATAATAAGAATTAGGATCGCCTAGGCTCTTTGTTCCCAGAAATATAAATGTCACCTTCCTTTGCAAAGCTTGTCCTTCCCCTGGCAGCGTCCCACCTCGGCGCCTGGTCTTGACTCTGGGTGAATCTACCTGTTGTTTTGATG